ACTCAGATTTTATTACAAACTGTTTGAATAATTAGTTTGTAACTGAGCTCTATTTTTTTTGTTAACTGAGCTCAGATCTATTGGGCTATTGTGAAAAATCTGTAAAATCACCAAATAAACACAAAAAAAATAGGACTTAGATTTTATTACAAACTGTTTGAATAATCAGTTTGTAACTGAGCTCTATTTTTTTTGTAATTGGGCTCTGATCTATTGGGCTGTTGTGAAAAATCTGTAAAATTGCCAAATAAACACAAAAAAAAAGGACTCAAATTTTATTACAAACTGTTTGAATAACTAGTTTGTAACTGAGCTCTATTTTTTTTATAACTGAGCTCTGATCTATTGGGTTGTTGTGAAAAATCTGTAAAATCGCCAAATAAACACAAAAAAAAAAAAAAGACTCAGATTTTATTACAAACTGCTTGAATGATCAGTTTGTAACTGAGCTCTATTTTTTTTGTAACTGAGCTCTGATCTATTGGGTTGTTGTGAAAAATCTGTAAAGTCGCCAAATAAACACAAAAAAAAGAACTTAGATTTTATTACAAGCTGTTTCAATAATCAGTTTGTAACTGAACTCTATTTTTTTTGCAACTGAGCTCTGATCTATTGGGCTGTTGCGAAAAATCTGTAAAATCACCAAATAAACACAAAAAAAAAGGACTCGGATTTTATTACAAACTATTTGAATAATCAGTTTGTAACTGAGCTCTATTTTTTTTTGTAACTGAGCTCTGATCTATTGAGCTGTTGCAAAAAATCTGTAAAAATTGCCAAATAAACACAAAAAAAAAAGGACTCAGATTTTATTACAAACTGTTTGAATAATCAGTTTGTAACTGAGCTCTATTTTTGTTTGTAACTGAGCTCTGATCTATTGGGCTGTTGCGAAAATTCTGTAAAATCTCTAAATAAACACAAAAAAAAAAAAGGACTCAGATTTTACTACAAACTGTTTAAATAATCAGTTTGTAACTGAGCTCTGATCTATTGGGCTGTTGCTAAAAATCTGTAAAATCGCCAAATAAACACAATAAAAAAGGACTCAGATTTTATTACAAACTGTTTGAATAATCAGTTTGAACTGAGCTCTTTTTTTTTTGTAACTAAGCTCTGATCTATTCGGCTGTTGCAAAAAATCTGTAAAATCAGAAATAAAAGGTATGCTATTCACTCTGATTTTATTAAATAAAACACATCAATACGATTTGCTGTGGTTAGGACAATCGGGGGCAAATACCTCGAGAAAGATGAAGAACACATATCAGAGCTCAATAGGAAGGATCATAGGATGAAGTAAATCAGAGTCAATAGCATACCTCAAAATCAATAACACAGAGAGAATTGGAGCTCTTTGCTTCAAGAGCTCAAGAACAAACACAGAGATCAATAACACAGAAAGAATAAGAGCTCTTTGCTTCTCTCAAGAACAAACACGCAGATCAATAACAGAGAGAATAAGAGTCAATAGCATACCTCAAGATCAATAGCAAGGATCAGAGCTTAAGAACAGCTGACTAAACCCTAGCGAGGGCGAGGGCGAGGGCGAGGGCTGTGCGTGTGAAGAGAGAAGTCTGCCTGGGATGTGCGTGTGAAGAGAGAAGTCTGCCTGGGATAGTGGCGTGCTGCAAAGAGAGGGGTCACTCAGCGGCTGAATGCGAAGAACAGAAGAAAGGGGTCGTGCTGCGAAGAGAGGGGTGCTCAGCTGAAGATGGGAAGGTAAGAACGAGGAGAAGAGAAGAGAAGAAGAACTGAGGTTCGGGGTTGAAGTTCTAAAACGAAGTTTCCAATTTTAAACTTTTGTAATAGAAATATGAACAGTAGCGTGAGGACCCTATTTGAACTTCTATTTTTTTATCAAACACAGTAATAAGTTTTCCACTTCTACGAAGACACTTTCTTGTTATCAAACTAATAGTAGTTTTTCAACTCCTTTTATTATACAATTCATGGCAAGGTTTTCATACAACCCATGTAAGCCACATTTTTTTTTTTACAAAAAATCATAATCATGTTAAAGTATTATTTTAACTAAAAAATAAAAGTTATATGGCCGGTTTTAAAAATAGCAAATATTAATTAAAAATAATAATTTTTATGCGTTTTACCGTCTGACATCAAAATATTGTCTACTAGATCTATGTGTTTCATAACCTGCTGGAATGTTAAAAAAGTTCTCGATATTATGTTTGATAATATATATATATACATTATAAATATGAGGGAAATTATCACAAAAATATACCTCAATTTTCATCTATATAGAAAAAACCCTCAATTTTCATCTATTTAGAAAAAACCCTTAACTTTCATAAACCTCACTCACATTTTTTTTTTCAATTTTGAGCTTTTTTATCAAAATAAGGAAAACTATCATAAATATATTTCTTCTATTTAGAAAAAAGAAGAAAAAAAAAACCTAAAACTTCAATAAAAACCTGAACTTTCATAAACCTCACCCATACCCGATGTGTTCAATTATGGAATCTTTTTTACCAAAATAATTTTCATGATAGTACTATTACCGTGAAGCACAATTACGGCACTTACCATAAACGCTTTTCTCTATTTATATTTATCACTAATTCTTTTTATAATTTATCTTCTTTCTCTCTCTAATGCTTTTAACATTTATCTCTTATTTTTCTCTCTAATTCTTTTTTATCTCTCTAATTCTTTTTAATATTTATCTCATTTTTCTCTCTCTAACTCTCTTTCTCTCCCATGAGATTTGTATAACAACGTGTGAGTACCTTACTCAGGCCTATAAAAACTTCTTCAATCCTATCTCTCATGAAAATTAGAAAGAATCAAATTTGTATCACGTTAGAATCGTGTTTGTTGAGTTGATGAAGTAAGCAGAGAGAGAAAGAAGAGAAAAAAATAGAGAGAGAAAGAAGAAAAAAAAATAGAGAGAGAAATAAGAGATAAATATTAAAAAGAATTAGAAAGAAATAAGAGATAATTTAAAAAAAGTTAGAAAAAAAAAGAGATAAACATAAAAAGAGTTAGAGAGAAAGAAGAGATAAACATAAAAAAAATAGAAAGAAAGAAGAGATAAAAATAAAAAGAAAATAGATGAAAGAAGGAGAAAGGGGTTTACGGGATTTTGAGGGCCGTATAACGTGGGTTAGTTTTTAGTGTACTTAAAATGCCATATAACATTAGTAACATGAGTGGGTTTACAACATTTCTAATGACGGGTTAATTTTTACTGTACTTAAAATGGGTGAGGTTTATGAAAATTGATAGTTTTTTTCTCTAAATAGACGAAAATTAAGGTATATTTGTGGTAATTTTCCTAAATATAAATATACAATATATATAACATAATATATTATATATAATATTTATATTATATATAACATATAATATAATATTTATTATAATATAATATAAGATATTTATATATTATATATAATATAAGAAATATATATTATAGATAACATATAGTACAATATAAGATATTTATATATTACGTATAATAAATATTGGAAAATGACCTTGTGAGACCCTCCCACACATGTGTGTAGGATCCCAAAGGATCATCATTAAATTTTGCATAAATATCTAGAAAAGTCAAATCATATACCTATGTGATAACTTTTCTAGAGATCTGTGCCAAATTTAATGGTGATCATTTAGAGTCATACACATGGGTGTTCGAGGGTCTGATCATTACTTATAAATATTATATATAATATAATAAATAATAATATAAATATTAGCACGTGGAAAATAGGGAGATTTTTTTTAAAAAAAAGAGATATTTTTTTTAAAATTAGTGCATGACAAAGAGAAACATCTTTTTTCCTCAAATTAGTGCTCGATATAAACTAAACGTACCATTCCCAATATTAAGGGAAGATAGAAAATACAGATATTTTCAAGAGAGAAACAAAAGAGAGAGAGAGTACGGATATTTTGAGAGAAGCAGAGAGGAGATAGACTTTTTGGAGAGGAAGAGAGAGAGAAAGATACTTTTTTTTTGTAAGAGAGAGAGTAGGCACATGGCAACTTCAGTCTTTTTATAAAATTGTTGCATACCATCCATAGTTATAGAGGTAAGGTACACCTTCAAATTTTATCATGGTATATAATTTTGATGTAAAATGTTTTTAAGATTATTTCAAACTTTATATTTATATCTGATTATAAAATTTTAAATTTAAAAAATGGTTAAAATCAAGTAGGTCTATAAACACTTGAAAATCTTGAAAATAGACGGGATAGATAATATGTTGTATTATGCACTATTTCTGAGACTTAAAAACTTTTTATTTTTCATAGTCATACATCTCGAGGTCGAGATGATCAATCAAAGGGTTTTTCAACATTAAAACTATCTTTTTCGATAGATTTTTGTGGTGCATTTGTAGCTATAGAGGTAAGGTTGCAACCTTATATAAACTTTTTCCTTCTTTAAAATATCTTGTCATGAATATATCCATCTCTATCCTAAAATATCTATACATGTTATTCCTTCTCAAATTAGTGCGTGTACAAACTACACCTACCTCATTTTTGTTTCTATAGTGCGTGGGTTCTCAATTTTTCATTCCTCATTTTTGTTTATATAGCGTGTGGTTTCTTAAATTTTCATTTAGAGAGAGATCAACAAAATAAATCAAGAGGGAAATACTTATCATATCAACAAAATCAATCTTTATCTAAACATATCATAATTTTGTTTCTATATCCTAATTAGAGATAGTGAGTATATTGGATTGATTTTAGATGCTTACCATATCAAAAAGACTCAATTCTTATCAATGATCTCATTACTCCCATATTTATGGGATTATTAACATGAAATCCAACTTAGAAAGGAAATAAAGACGATACGGTTTAGGGGTGAAGTTCTTAGACCTTTAGAAGAGTTATGCGCTTTACCTTGTGGTTCTTTGAAAGGAAAAAATTTATATAAGGTTGCAACAGTAAAATGTAAAACTATGGATGCACCTACAAAATCCATCGAAAAAGGTTATTTTAATGTTGAAAAACCATGTGATTGATCATCTCAACATCGAGATATATGAATATAAAAAATAAAACGATTTTGAGTCTCAAAAATAGTGCATCTTACAACATATTATCTACACCATCCACTTTCAAGATTTTCATGTGTTTATAGATCTACTTGATTTTAACCATTTTTGGAATTTAAAATTTTATAATTAGATATAAAAATAGATTTTGATAAAATCCTAAGAACATTTTACTTCAAAATTATATATTATGATAAAATTTGAAGGTGCACCTTAATTGGATTGTTTAAAGTTGCAACTTTATGGAAACCACACGCTCTTGAAATGATAATGCTTATCCATGATAATATATTTATATGTATTTTCAAGATAGCTGATACTCATCCATGCGTAAATTTTATTTTTATCCATGGAATACATTTTATTTCATTTTAGGTGTTTACTATTTGCACCCATGTGAAGCTTTTGATGTTTTCAGGTGCGAAGAACTAATACTGGCCTGTAAAACAATCAAGCATGCGGTTTGATATAAATGCTTTTATTTTATTTTTGAATTTTTACGTGCTTTATCTTCTTCTGGTTTTTTAAAGGATAATGCTTATCCATGGAAATATATTTATATTTATTTTCAAGATGGCTGATGCTCATCCATGCACAAATTTTATTTTTATCCATGGAATACATTTTATTTGATTTTAGGGGTTTGCTTTTTGCACCCATGTGGTTGCTAACAAGCTAGAAGTTTTGAAAATTTCATGTATGTTTGGTACGAAGAACAACAACTAACTTTAATGGTGGGGAGCTTCATTAAAAAGAAAGAAAACTTTAATGGTGAGTAGGGGTGAGAATTGACCCGATCCGGATCTGTTCGGACCCTATTCGGATTCAATTATCGAAAAAGTCTGGACCAAGACCCCAAAAGTTCGGTCTTAAGTGAAATCTAGATCGGATCTAAGTGCAGGTGGATCCGGTCCAGATCTGACCTGAATCCATCTTTCAAGTAATTTGGATTTGTAGAAAAAAAAAATGAAAATTGAAACACTAACAGACAACTATAACTGTGCGATGAAGTTTGGATGGTGATGAGGGTAGGCGAAATTAATGTTGATTTTCACCTATTGGGAAGAGTTTGGATAGTGATTAATTCTTTCTCTCTCTAAGTTTAGTGATTAGTTGAATTAACGCACCTAGGAATATAATAAGCAATTACGACTTTCTCATACGTATGAACTGATTGTATTATGTTATTATTGTTGTTATTAATCTCTTGTAACGTAATGAACTTACGAATGATGAATAATTGGCAACAATATTATTATTGTTGTTGTTATTAATCTCTTGTAACGTAATGAACTTATGAATGATGAATAATTGACAACAATATTGTACGTTATGATGATATACTTTTTAGGCATTAATCTCATGTAATTTAATAATCTTCGAGTTTGATGAAGTCCATTAAATTACAAAACTTGGTTCTAGAGAACCTCATCCAATTAGTGCTTCAATAGAAAATGACCTTCCAATGCTTGGGATCGCTTTTGTACAACTGGTTCTTCTTCTTCCATGTATAAAATCCAGATGGATGACCTTGCTCCATGGTCATATTTTAAGCCTAAAAACGAGTTAAAGTTGGATGGAATAGTTTGTGAAGTTCTTTTGGTTTTCTACAAATAGTAAATTATAGACGAGAGAGATGGAGGACTGGGAATCCAAAGCATCTCAGACCTCACTCCCTCATGGAAGATCTTAGAAGCTCTTCCATTAGAGCCATTATGCAGATTCATAGCTCTTAGC